ATCATCACAACTAAATAACGATATCACTTTTTCTCAAATGAACTTTCTTTACATAGTCATCTCAATCTTTCGAATCTCAGCGTTATGTATAAATAATCATCTCACGTTCTCGATCCTACTCCCTCGAGCAGGAGCAGTGGCTGAGGTGAAGTGGGTGCCTCGGAGCGCGGACTGTGCCATTGATAGTGTGACTGCCAACTACTATGTGCGCAAGGCCTTCCGAGACAGCATATCCCGTTTTGATCCCGTTTTCGATGTGCAATCCACGCGGAAGTCTATGATATGTAAGAGAGCGCTGTTGAAGGTGAGTGCACATGGAGTGGATGTGGAGAACGTTCCTGTTGTGGTTGAGTTGAATGCTATTAGGTTTTCAACCCGAATTAAGAGTGCGAGTAAATCATCAGAGATAAAACACTCAGTGGCTAGATCTTCAGATGGTGTTCTACCTACAACGTAGGACTTGGATCGTGATACTATATTTCTGAGCATAGCGTAGGCAGCTATATAGTTTGGCTATATGCACCTTTACATATATGGCCAAAGGAAGGTGGCTATACAAGTATGTGGAAGTATTTATATGTGTGTCTTTAACAAACCCTTCTGTGCCACGGAGTTAAAAAAATGAATTTGCGCCTGCCATGTAGTTGTGACTGTCATATAACACCAGTTGCTGGTTGTAAAGTATGTCGCATCTTTCGCAGTGAAAATAGAACTTATGTCTAGATGGTTTTCGGCTTGTCTATATTCCCGTTTTTATAAGAAGTGATTGACCAATTTTGGCTTATGTACACCCCGATTTTATGGGAAATGGTTGACTGTTTACTGCTTGCCTATACGCTTTTATAGGACACGGTTGACTAATTTGGTCATTTGTATACGTCCATTTTACGGGAAATGATTGACTGTTTTCCGCTTGTCTATGTTCCGTGTCTTTAGAAAACGATTGATCAATTTTAGCTTTCGTATACCCCGCTTTTATGGGAAGTGGTCATAAGTGATTTTAACGAGATTGAATTTCAGTAATATTAACAGACCTATATCGGCTATGCACTGCTCCTGTTTTACACTACAGATGGTGGCTTTCAACCCGGAGTGCAATGGCATGCTAACGAGAAAACAGCAAGTAGAGGAACGCGACCTATTTATAGATACCTACAAAGACGAACTCATAACCGATTCGGCGATTTTGATTGGTCCTCAAAGCAAGCTGGGTATCACCGTTGAGATGTCCAAGTTTGTGAAGGTGAGGCTGAGATGGACAGATGTCTATTTATAACCCACGGGAAGATACCTATTCCGCAGTGGTTTGCGGATCGGCCGGTGTGTGCACTCACATCCTCTAGCGGAACAGAGTGGTGTGTTTAATAGGCAGCTATCGGTTGCACCCATCGGAGAATGCTCAGTATATATCCATTCATCTACCACGGTGCATGTGTACTGTTGTTTTCTAACCAGCTATCCACGCACACTAAGGCGTGCAAGCCTATTAAAGTGCGCAAACACACATGTCTTTACATCAGAGTTCTGTAATTGGCGCCTCTCCTCTCCCAATGCCACAGGGTGTGAGTTCGAAGTCAACCGCTGTGGTGGACGGGGCTATCCACTCTCGCACAGCCGCAGGTGATACTAACGCGATACCTGGAGACACGTCTGTGTCTGGGCATACGCATGTAAGCATGGGTACCAGTGGTGGGGGGTATGTGATGAAGAAGTCACGTAAGTACTTTCCCACGACTTATCTGCGAGAGCCCTTCGCAACCATTGAGGACGCACAGGACGCTGTGCGTGCACACATGTCCGAGAAAATCGCTCAGGGCTTTGTGCTGCCATCGCTGGATCAGTTTGAGCAGACACTCAGGAAGGGTATAGAGGTAGGTAGGTATGGCTGATGGTTGTGTGCTTGTGTGTTTGTGTGTTTGTATTCTGTTTTTTCTGTGGTATGTAAAGTGGACCTGTATGTGCACTCTAGGGGGACGAGTGGGTGTGTGTATTTGTCTCGAAGTTAATGAACACGTGTGTGCGTGTGTGGTTCGTAAGCGGCGTGTGCATATGTAGCCGATGTGTACTGGCTTGCCCGGGTTTACAGGGTTTAGGGTTTAGAGTTTAGGATTGACTTGGTGCTCGGGCATGTGTATCTGGGTTATGCGTATGTTCCCATAGAGTACCTCCGACATTCCAAGGGTGTGTGTGTGTCATGTACAACACCCACCAATCTCATCGCAGATCATATACACAGCTAGTACCCGGTACACAGCTACGCAAACCATAGATCAGTTCACTCGTAGGTTACCACCGATCTCGCTGCCTGCCACCGTACGTATATATTGTATATTACATATCGCATACCCATCACACATGAGACGATTGAGACTCCAGTATTTCAAACCCCTCGTTATCCCTTCGCAATCCCTGTGCCAACGCACGCTTCCTTCTCATGTGTTTGGTTGCATGTACAATGTCATTGGCAGTTCTATACAATCGCAGCCTTAGCGCCACTGTGTGTGTGTGCTGTGTATTTGCCCAGCGCATCCGCAGGCAATGACATCGGCAGTTTTGGCACGAGAGGCAGTGAAGTGGTTGTGGTTGTGTACTGTAGACTGTAGTGGTTCTTGAGACCAATTGTTATCTCGGTCGCTACCGAACCTATCGCCAACATATCTTTCAATCGCAATCACACTCTCAGTACTAAGCTTTTGCGGTCAAGTTCTGCCTTTACTCTACTACCGTCTGCGTATATAGAGCCAATCTAACACCCATCAGGCTAAATCTAAACCCCTAAATAAAACCCTAAGACCTTGACCCATACACTCTAGCACCAATTGAGACACTACACACCTATCCATGCCCGTTATTGTGCACTGGTAGACTGTGATGCATTCTTTTGATAGGAGTAATCCCATGCCTATTCATTGGCCCCCTCACTTTATGTGTTCCCTTCTTCATAGACTATTCATCTGCTATCAAGCCCATAGGTAGTAAGCATGACCATATTCATTCATCTAACAACAACCACACACCTCGTATCCATGACCATATTCATTCATCTAATATCAACCACACAGCTCGTATGTTGACCATGCGCCGTATATGCACGTGCGCTCTACACAGCACCAGCGACGGTACTACTCATTGCATGCGTTGGTGTATACAATGATAGCACTAAAGTGTGCTGCGATCCGTTTTGCTGATAGGTATAATTACGTATCTATTCTTTGGCAATCTCTCTCCATCTGTGTCCTTCTCCGTAGGTTGTTCACTCATACGTTGCACGCATGACCTTAACCATTCACCTATCACCAACCTGTAAGCTATTATACACTGTCTATACACAGCACCAGCGATGGTACCACTCGTTCCATGCATTGGTCTTTGATGGGTGTGGAGGGAATGAGGACGAGATTAAGGTGAGTGCAATCACCCGTGTCTTGTATGTGTTGATGTTGTATGTGTTTATGTATGATTTATAAATCACATGTCTTTGTTGTTGTATCTGTATATGCTTGATTCTTCTTGTCCACATGTTTATTTCGTAGCAAATAGGTGTGTGCGTCGCTGCGTGTGTGGATACTATCCCGTTCTAACGTTCTAAGACACACTCCTTTGAGTGCCTGTTTTTGTGACTGTATGTCCGCATGTGTGTTATCTGTGTCAGCAACGTTTAATGACAGTCAGAGGCAGTTGTCGCTGGGTTTAGCGTTTAGGGTTTAAGGTCTCGGTCTCACGCTTTTGTGACCGTTTCTTCGTACACTACAGTGCGGTCGTGTGTGCCTAATTGTGGCTTTAGTGTTTAGGGTTTTTAGGGTTTATGTCAACTGCGTATAGGCGGTACCACCTTCCCACCCATGTGGTAATACATACGCACGTGGGTACGGTTTCATACAACCGTTGTGTCCAGTCTGAGGAATCCGTGTGGTCGGTGTATGTAAATGATTTAGGGTTTAGGGTTTTAGGGATATGGCCAAATTGCGGCTGCTATCTCTATGCGCTCAAGAGTTCCACACTTGTTCTACAATCACCGGAAGGGGTGCAGGACTGAAACCTGGTCTCAGTCCTCGAATGGATACCTCGATACCTCTCCTGTGTCCGACATTTGTTAGCTATTGCCCGACAAATACTTCACTCAAGGCCTGACAAATGGTACTCATTGTCTGACAAATGGCAATCCATTTGCACACTTCACTCCCTTTGTCTGACAAATGGTACCCATTGTCTGATAAATGGCAATCCACTTGTAACACTTCATTCCATTTGTCTGACAAATGTTACCCATTGTCTGATAAATGGCAATCCATTTGTACTCTTCATTCCCTTAGTCTGATAAATGGTACCCATTGACTGACATATGACAATCCATTTGTATACTTCATTCCCTTTGTCGGACAAATGCTATTATATTACTTATCAGCTGACACGGATGCCAATTTCACCCAGAAATACCAACCCCTGGCACCCTTTTTCTTTATTTTTTCGGCTAGACACCATGCACCTCAGTTGCAATTGCAATTGTCTTAAAATTTAATCTGACTGTCTCATCAAATCCCCACAGCTGTTCATGTCTGTGCTGGCCACCTCCAGTCCCAATTCAAACGTGCACCAGGTACGAATTTTGTTTTGGGGTTTGGATTCTCATGGACTCGTAGTGCTTGTAGTAAACGTATGCATATATGTGCATTGTAGTGACGTATGAATATTTGTGTATTGTAGTATATGTATGTATATATATGTATTGCAGCCACACAATTATACGTGTAGGACAGCGAGGTCTACATAAACGTTGACAAATCGATACACTGGATGTGAACCAAATTTCTTTTCAAATCAAATATTGCTTTGTCGCTCCGTGGTTGCAATGGTTTATGTATTTTTATTTGATGCGTGTTGGTACGTTAGGCCAAGAGTATTCGTAAAGGGATGCCTACACTTGATAGTTCAGTTTGCTGTGGTGGTGTTCTGGTGCATGGTACGCTCTGAGGACATATGTTTACTATTCTGAAAGGAAAGCCGTGCGTACGTAACCATAGTGACAGCTATACGGGTATATCCCCACATACTCGCACAACTATCATCCTGTGCAACAGTACAAACGCACACCTGGACACAGAAACGCACACATTCGCTCACCCGCCCTTATGTATTTTCACACTCTCGAGTCTCAAGTGGACGCTTGTGGACTCTTTATCTCCGCCCCGAAAGGCCACTTGTGCCATTCCTGTACCAGTATTGGACACTCGGAATGAAACGGATATGCATATACACACATATATATATATATATATATATATATATATATATATATATTATATATATATA